GGTCGTATCTCAGAGGAAAGAGGGAAGGGGGGTGGAGGGTGGGAAGAGATTAACCAAAGAATTTATAGGCATATATGCATAACTCATGGACACAGACAATAGTGTGGTGAAGGCCTAAGGCGGAGGGGGTATGGGGGCAGTGCAGAAGGGGTCAATGGGGAAAAAAGTGAGAAATCTCTAATACTTTCAAAAATAAAGATAAATTTTTTAAAAAGCCTATTAGTCAGATCTAATAAATATTGCTATCCCAGTTTTTTATTCATTTCCATTTGCATGAAATATCTTTTTCTATCTCTTTATTTTCAGTCTTTGTGTGTCTTTTGACCTGAAGTGGGACTTTTGTAGGCAGCATATGTATGGATCTTGTATTTTTATCTATTTGGCCACCCTGGGTCTGTTGATTGGACCATTTAATCCATTAACATTTAAAGTAATTATTGATAGCCCTGGCTGGTGTGGCTCAGATGGTTGGAGTGTTGTCCCATACACCGAAAGGTTGCAGGTTCCATTCTTGGTCAGGGCACATACTTAGGTTGCGGGTTTGGTCCCTAGTTGGGGCATGTATGAGAGGCAACCAATTGATTTTTCTCTCTCATGTCAATGTTTCTTTCTCTCTCCCCCCCTTCCTCTCTCTAAAATAAATGAATAAATAAATAAATAAAGTAATTATTGATAGGTATGTAGTTATTGCCATTTTATTTATTCATATTTTTTACCTTATTTTTTGTAATATCTGATTTGGTGGTGATGAACTTCTTTAGCTTTTTCTTGTCTGGGAAGCTCTTTGTCTTTTAATTCTAAATGATAGCCTTGCTGAGTAAAGGAATCTTGGTTGTAGGTCCTTGCTTTTCATCACTGTGAATGTTTCATGCTAATCCCTTCTGGCCTGCAAAGTTTCTGTTGAGAGATTAGCTGACAGTCTTATGGGAGCTCCCTCTGTAGGTCACTAACTGCTTTTCTCTTGCTGATTTTAAGATTCTCTCTTTGTCTTTAACCTGTGGCATTTTAATTATGATGTGTGTTAGTGTGAGTCTGTTTGGTTTCATCTTGTTTGGGACTTTCAGCATTTCCTGGACTTGTATGTCTATTTCCTACACCAGGTTAGAGACGTTTTCCATCATCATTTCTTCAAATAGGTTGTCATTTCCTTGCTCTCTTCTCCTTCTAGCAATCCCATGATGCAAATGTTGGTACACTTGATGTTGTTCCCGAGGTCCCTTAAACTATCCTCATTTTTAAAATTCTTTTTTATTTTTGCTGATCGGATTGGGTGTTTTCTGCTACCTTGGTTTCCAAATTGATGATTCTATCCTCTGCTGCATCAGATTTACTGTTGATTTCACTTAATTCTTCATTTTTAGTTATTGTATTCTTCATTTCTGACTGGTTCTTTTTTATGTTTTGTTTCTATTTTTTATGTTTCCTCTCTTCTTGTTAAACTTCTCACTGAGTTCATCTACTCTCCCCCTAAGTTCATTGAGCATTTTTTTTTTTTTAAATATATCTATATTGATTTCAGAGAGAGGAAAGGAGAGGGGGAGAGAGAGAGATAGAAACATCAATGATGAGAGAGTCATTGATCAAGCCCATAATCTGGGCATGTACCCTGACCAGGAATCAAACCCCGATCACCTGGATCCTAGGTCCACGCTCAACTGCTGAGCCGCGCCCGGCCGGGCTCATTGAGCATATTTATAATCAGTATTTCAGACTCTGCGTTTGGTAGATTACTTTTCTTCATTTAATTCAATTTTCTTTCTGGAGTTTTCTCCTGTTCTTTCATTTGCAACATGTTTCTTTGTCTCCTCATTTTGGTGGCCTCCCTTTGTTTGTTTCTGTGTATTAGGTAGAGCTGCTACATCTCCTGGTCTTGGTAGAGTGGCCTTACTGCAGTAGGTGTCTTGTGAGGCCCAGTGGCACAGTCTCCCAGGTCACATGAGTCAAGTGCTCCAGGGATGTTCCTTCTGTGGGTTATGTGTGCCTTACTATTGTAATTGAGGCTTAATTGCTGTTGGCACTTCAGTGGGAGGGATTCACCCTCAGGCTGACTGGCTGTGAGGAATGATCATGATTATAGCATGTTGTGCTGTTGTGCAAGGGCTGACCCCATGGAGCAAGGTTTATGTTAGTGGGGGCTCTAGTGCCTACTGAGTTCACCGTTTGACAAGTCATTTGTGGAGGTGGTTGGGTGGTCTGGTGTGGTCTGAAGCTAGCCACCAGGTATGTGGATTTTGGGGCCTCTTGGTAGGCGCTCTGGTACAGGCCAAGGTCAGCCACTGCCTGTGCCAGCCTGGGGCCTCCTTGTATGGGCTAAAAAGTGATCTGCAGGTGGTTGCTATTTGTGCTTGGCTTGGAGGTGCCTAGGAGAGTCTAAACTGCCAACTGAGGCTAGCTGCCACTAGTGCTGGGCTTAGGCCCCACTTAACAAGAAGTATGAGGTACTCTGAGGCCAGCCACTGCATGTTTGGGGTTTGTGAACGTTTGAGAGATTTTAGGAAAGTCCCCAGGACTAGCCGAGACAGGCTGTTTGAATGGAAAAGTGGCTGGAAGCGGCTGGGGTGGGCCTACAAGTTGTGTGGAGTGGGGTTTCAGGGATTATCAGGCAAGATGTTAGCCGGTTGATTACACAGACTTGGTGCTGGCCTGTACCTGTAGGCTGGGTGGAGGGAGGACTCACCAGAGGAACTTTGGAGTCTACCAGCACTTCTGTCTGAGAGAAAGCTGCTCCTCCAGCCCTTGCCTTGAAGCCAGACTATTTAGTTCCTCCCTGTAGGTCCCTGGTGCTTTTTGAATCGCTGCCACTCAGAGCAAGTGAGTCTGTCAGTGAGTTAATCTGTGCTCGGGCCCTTTAAGAGGAATGCCTGCAGCAGTCCTCCCTCTTATGCAGCCACGATCCCCAGTGTTTTTCACAGCCAGAAGTTATAGGACTTCTCTTCCTGGCATTGGAACCCTGAACTGGGGAGCCTGGTGTGGGGATGGAACCCCTCGCTCCTCAGGGGGGACCTCCACAGCTGAGCTATATCCCTCCTGATTTTTAACCACCACAACGTGGGTATGGGACCAGCCTGTTCTGCATCTCCACCTCTCCTACTGGTCTTGATGTGGCTTCTGTATATTTGTAGTTATAGAACTTCTATTCAGCTATTCTTCAGACGGTTCTCAATGATGGTCATTCTGTAGTTTAGTTGTAATTTTGATGTGGGTGTGGGAGGAGGTAAGAGCATAGCATATATCTACTCTGCCATCTTGACTGGAAGTGTTACTCATGAAATTTTTAATTAAAAGGAAAGAATTAAGCATTTGTTTTTCCCAGTTAGAATAACTACAGCTTACATTAGGGTCATTTTTCTTTATAGGATGATGATAATACAGAAAGTGATAAAATTACAAAATCACCATTTTGCAAAACTACCATATCTGCAGAGAAGTATCAGTGAATATTTAAAACCATCATGTGAACATAGTATTTTCTTGGTGCCTAGATATCTCTGCAATATGGAAACTTATCTTCTTAGATACTCAGGGGCATTTTTCTGGAAAATGGTTGAAAAGTAAAAGCATCAGTGATGAATAAAAGAATTATTTTTTCAATACAAAGAAATACTAGTAAGGGATGTGGGGGTTTTGTCAGAGGGTTTTGAATAGTTGCTCAAGGCTTTGACTTTTTAAATGTTGGAATTTGAAACCTTATTTTTTGGAAAATATACTAAGGGTTTTATTTTTGCTAAAGTTAAGTATATTTGAATTCTTATCTGATTTATATCAGTGATTACTGGAGGTGATGCTTTTCCACTTTGCCCAGACATTGTTTTATTAAATTCACTGTTGATGATTTATAGTCACATGGGAGAAATTAGGCTTCTCTATTTTATATTTTTCCTTAGTTCAGTCATCAGATAGGGTGGCTAAAACAAATTTAACCCTAAATCTTGGTCTGAGTAGTATCACAAGTAGGATTCTAACCAAAAAAAATTGGTTGCGTGTACTTTTTTAAGGAAACAGACACACATTTTATCAAGATTTTATTCAACTGAAATTACACATTCTTCATGTGTCTTTTTTTTTAATATATATATCTTTATTGATTTCAGAGAGAGGGAAGGAGAGGGAGAGAGAGAGACAGAAACATCATTGATCGAGCCCACAACCTGGGCATGTGCCCTGACCAGGAATCGAACCCCGATCGCCTGGATCCCAGGTTGACTCTCAACCGCTGAGCCACGCCTGGCCGGGCTCTTCATGTGTCTTAAGTGGTTAAAAGAGAAAACTTTAGACTATTCTTTTTTAAGCCTGTTAAAAGTTTTTCAGTCCTTATTATCATACCTATTATTTTCTGTAAGATGAATTAATTGTCAATTTGTTATTTCCTAGGAGGAATATAGAGCTGAAGGTATCAGCTGGCACAATATAGATTATATTGATAATACCTGTTGCATAAATCTTATTAGCAAGAAACCAACAGGACTGCTCCATCTTTTAGATGAAGAAAGCAAGTAAGTATGGTTCTTTTCAGTTTTGTCGTAGGCCATTTGAGCTTTTCATGCCTAAGTCCGAAGCTTTCTTCTTACATTATCAAGTAAAGAGTCAAAGTTTTTCCTTGTATGAATTTTGTGTGTGTGTGTGTGTGTGTGTGTGTGTGTCTAGGAAAATTGGATGGACTTCACTGATATAGAACTCATATAAATATGTTTTTCCATATTGCTACAGAGTTTCATTGATGTTAAATTTGTTGGCAGATTAATTAAGTTTTTAATTGACTTTAGAGAGAGGAAGGGAGAGGGAAAGAGAGATAGACACATCAATGATGAGAGAGAAACATACATTGGCTGCCTCCTGCAGCCCCCTACTGCGTATCAAGCCTGCAGTCTGGGCATGGCATGTATTCTGACCAGAATCGAACCATGACCTCCTGGTTCATAGGTTGATGCTCAACCACTTGAATTGAGTTTTATATGTGAGATATGTTTGCTCTTTTCATGTTTAACCGAAAACATCATGATAGATTAGTGGTGCTGCCACAAGTGTGCAGGTAGTAAGTGGCAACATATGCTATGCCAAATATTTACCATCCCTTGTTAATACTGTTCAGTATACTAAACTTATCTCTAAGCTTCAGAGATAAAGCTTCACATGGCATCCTCAGGGGTGTTCTCAGTGCTCTATAAAGTATTATTTATAGTTAAATTATGCTAAGAGATAGCAGATTTCGAATTGGAGAAACAGAAGTGATGGAGAGTGTGTGGGTTTTCTATGACTTTTTAGTAAAATATTTGGAAATTGAATTAAATCACCTGATACCTACCTTAATATTATCCCATTAAATTAGGATATAAAATATTGGGGATTTACTATAGATAGGATGTTCATACATCATATTTGTGTGGGACAATCTAAAGTTTATGACTGTTGTCTAGTTTGTTATTAAAGGTACCTACTTTTACCCTCAGAATACCTGGTTTGTATGGTAAGTTATACATCACCCTATTGATAAGCCATAAACACACAGAATGGCTGTATAGAAATACAGAATAAACACCTCAGAATGAAAAATATATGGGAAAAGGTACTGCAGACAGTTACAGCTACCCACTCTATTAGTAGTCTATTATAAAATAGACATCAATGTAAATGGCTTAAAATGTAATTAACACAAAATATTGTAATTTAATAGCCACAGTTGTGTAAAAGTTTCTTGTTTTGCCTGTATGCCCTTAAACATATATTATCTCATAAAATTATAAGATAGTGCTTCTTAACTGTGCTATATACCTTTACCTCTGGTGTATTTTATTTTGGCAAGCTTCATAGGTAGTTTTTTAATCCTCACCCGAGGATATGTTTTTATTGATTTTAGGGAGAGGGGGAGAGAAACATTGAAGTGAGAGAGAAACATCATTTGATTGCCTCTCCTACACACTCCCCCTTGCCTGGGTATGTGCCCTGACTGGGAATTTTGATGCTCCAATTAACTAAGCCACAATGGCCAGGGTCATAGATAGTTTTGATACTCAGTGTTAGAACCATTGTGGTTGATATAGAAATGATAAGCATTTTTTTATGGTAATAAAAAGAACAAAAAACTTTAAGCAGTTCGAGAAACAGATCATATAGGTAGTAAATGGTGGACATAAGATTTAAACCCTCCTGGTATTTTTGACTAATAAGCTTGTATTGTCCTCTATTGCTTCCTGATAATATTTAGGCTGTAGAGTTGGAATTTCAAGGTTGTATCCCATCTTTTTTAACTACCCTTGTCAAATCTCTTAATATTTTTGGTCCTCAGTTTTTTTATATGTAGAAAGGAAATGATAAATGATAATGTTATCTGCTATATATATATTTTTTAAAAATATGTTTTTTAAAAATTTTATTGATTTTTTTTTTATTTTTTAGAAAGGATGGGGAGAGAGAAACATCAATGTGAGAGAGAAACATCAGTCGGTTGCCTTCCTGTATACACCCCAACCAGGGACTGAACCCACAACCTGGGCATGTGACCTGACCAGAAATTGAACCTGCGATCTTATAGTGCACAGAACAACGCTCGATCAGCTGAGCCACACCAGCCAGGGCATCTGCTATACATCTTAAGGTGGTTATGAATAGCATTTGAGATAGTGGATATATAATTGTGGAGCAAAGGGGTCTTGTCTGTCCTGTCATTCTCTAAGCAAATTTTTATTGAGTGCACATCTTTTATACAAAGACTATATTTCCCTGGACAGTTACTACCTCACATAAATATAAATATTGCCCAATGAAGAGATTGTCACCTCTTTGCTGTTACCCAAAAGCTTGTGGTATTAAGCCATGGCCAGAAATTATGGGAGACAGATTTTGACTTAGTATAAGGAAGAACTTTCTAATCATTAGGCTGATTAGCCGCTGCTTCATAAAGTAATAAAATTACCCGTTATAGTGATTATTCTGCATCATCTGTCAGGGTATTGTAAGTAGTAGACGACTGAATAACCTCTTGATAGTCGTCCCTTTAATTATGTTTCTATATTCAGTCCTCCATAAAAATTTTTAACAAACCTCAATTTATGAGTCAGTCCTGTTATTATTACCTATGTCTCTATGCTTATTATCCCAGAAGATGCAAAGGCATGAAATATTTTCCCTCTGCCATGTATCTTTAAGGAGGGGTTGAAAGTAAATTAGTCACATGTAGGAAAAGCCATTTTGGGAATCATTTAGACTGAGTATTTTTCCTCTAAAAACATTTTGTTACATAGGAAATATATTACATGAAATATATCTTTAGTGTTGTTTCTTCTTCATTCAATGTGTTTGTAGTGCTTTAGGTACATGGGTTTGAAGTCAGAAGTCTTGTTTAATTTTGTCTCGCTATCTACTGGCTATTTGACCTTGGGCAAGTTTTAAAAACTAGATTATAAAGGATTTATGTGGTGTGGAATTTGGAGAGGAGGAATGGTGTAAGCAAATTTAGGTAGGAGTAGGATGCTAGAAGTGTTATCAGTCTTTCCTATAGTACTAAAAGCGTGATTTGCTTGTTGGAAATGCAGAATCTCAGACTTTCACCTCTAGGGTTCTTGAATCAGAATCAGCATTTTAACAAACTGAAGTTAAGATTAGAGCATTCATTTAGGACCAGTGTGTTGTCAGTCTTGCCTGCTCTTAAGAATTACCTGGGCCCGGCCGGGCATGGCTCAGCGGTTGAGCGTCGACCTAGGATCCAGGCGATCGGGGTTCGATTCCCGGTCAGGGCACATGCCCAGGTTGCGGGCTGCAGCCAATCAATGACTCCCATCATTGATGTTTCCGTCTCNGGGGTTCGATTCCCGGTCAGGGCACATGCCCAGGTTGCGGGCTGCAGCCAATCAATGACTCCCATCATTGATGTTTCCGTCTCTCTCTCTCCATCTCCTTTCTTCTCTCTGAAATCAATAAAGATATATTTAA